CTGTGTGGCCTTAGAAGTGATACTGAAATAAACAGGACAGGAGTGGTATGTGTTAGAAATCAGATGCGCACCCACAGGAACTCAGACACTGCCCAATTCTCCACCTGTGTTGCTGTAGTGGTCTTTATAAAATCTACCTAAATTAAAACTCAACACCCATACCTTACAGGGCTCTGTTTTTCGACTGTGGTAATGGTTGTCTTCCCATCCTGTGTGGTCTTAGAAGTGATACTGAAATAAACAGGACAGGAGTGGTATGTGTTAGAAATCAGATGCACACCCACAGGAACTCAGTGTTTTTTTTTCATTTAATTGTCACAGTGCAAAGTGGAAGTGGTACTGTGGCTGACTACCCAAAGGTTTTATGTTCAATACCTTGTTTTAGTTTCCTCAACCGTTGTTATCTTGGATCCAGAAGTTAAAGACGTCCTGTATTGACATAAAGAACAAGAATTTAAGTCTTTGGTTTAATAAAAAAACAAAATGTCACACTCTTTCTCTATAAGCTATTTTATGCCTTAGTGCAGCAATATCCTAGAAGACAGATACATTTTGACACTAACCAATCAGACATTATGGTAGCAAAAGCTTAACTTACGTCTTTGGGTCATCAGTTTTGACTGAAGATGAAGTACTGTAAAAAAAATAAAATATATTCCTTAGAGAGTGTTGGATTGTATGTTTGGTACTTTTTGGATACAATGTTTTAAATATCATTTATGTTTAAGAACCATCTCATGCAATTATATAAGTTAAAATATCTTACAATAATATTGCAAATGCTATTTAGAAATTCTTGTAATATCTGTAAGCAAATAAATTTATATATATGAAGACAATGGACTTAGAGAGGGGGACTAACAGTCGGACAGGAATGAGTCACTGAGATAAACTTTCTTTAGTTTTCTTTTCTTGAAATACAGAGTAAAAATGCACTGCTACACCATTTTTACTTTGGTCAACTTCCGCTCCTGTAAAAGTAAGTCTTTCTTTATTATACAACACTGTTACACATCTTTCATGATATATTTGCCCATGTAAAGGAACACTTCATGTGAATTTAACGCTTGATAGAAAGTGAGAAACCTTAGCGTTCCTTTGAATTCTGCTTTGTCGTTTGACGCTCATGTGAGGAAGGCACAAGGGAATCTTACATCTGTGCAACATTGCTCGGTCTACCTGATGCTGAAATATTGATACATGCCTATGTCTACTGTCATGTTATTTTTACTGGGGTATGTGTAAAGCTTCTAAATTTTATTGGAATGCCCTACAGAGTTGTTCTGTGGTTCATGAGCTGGCTAAAAGCACTCTACATCACCACGTAAGTCACATCCTCTGTGAAATGTACAGAGGGACCTTAAGGATTTCCTGCTGCAGTAACACGCATGGAACGGACTAGCTCAAGGTTTAAGTTGAGCTTACTGAATGAGTACAATCCAGCACTTAATCTGAGATCTGCTGATTCAGGAATTCTTACTCCAGTAAAGAGCAGGCTTGTGTGTGGCACCACTTCTGTGGAACTCACTGTGAACTCAGAGTCACTAGAGACACTGTTACTGTCAACTTGTCTAAAACTCAAAGGTCTATCTTTTCACTATAGGTTTTAATGTGTACTGTATTTTATTTCTACTACTGGGTTTATTGAGTCAATTTTCTGCACATTTTTGCTTTTTTTACTTCTGTCTATTGCATGTTCATTACTGTATCATAATCACTGTTTTATCATATTTACCAAGTTTACGTATAAATTATTTCTCTAAGTCATTCTTGTAGGCATAGTACTTAATAAGTGTGCTGTTTAAAATTCATGCTTAGCTTTACAATTCAACAAATTCACATTATATGTGCTAATTCCACAGTTCATTGCATTGTAATTACAATAGAATTTCATGTTTTTACTATGGTTTTACTATGCATAAACATATTTCTGCTCATTAATGGTTTCATGAGAGATTGCAAACCATTGTTGAGATTCCAAGTAAATATTGCCCGATAATAAATAAAATGTTGCTCGACTTTTGCAGTTACAAATTGACAGGTAGGTTTCAGGGGAAGTGTTTCTTCAACACTCTGAAAAAGGGTGTGGTGTATTAACAACCTGTAAAGAAGGAAAACTCTCCTATCTAATCAACCAGAGAAAGTACACATATCAGATTAACTCTGAACATTGAAAGAAAAAGGCAAATCAAGGTTGTATTCATAATTCTTAAAATTAATTTGCCTACAGAGACAATTATGTTTGTTTCCATTTGATTTATTAATGAAGAATGATGGAGTCAATAACTGTATATTTTAAATGTTGTCTTCTGGCTTGTCAGATAGTCATCACCTCATCTTAGTCTTACAATCTGAGCTTGACAAAAACACAAAGAGAACGTACACATGTCCTCTGGATCATGCACTGTCATTCTGCTCCTACTCTACACACAGTGGAGCTAAGGTGTTCAACAGAGGACTGGTGCAGCTCTCCGACAACACTGCAGTCTGCTACATGCACAGTCAGCTACAGGGCTGACTTTGCATGAAATGACTGGCCAGACAATTAAGCCCTGTGGTCCACAAGACTCTCTCCCAGTCAAGGTCTTAGCAACAACCCAGCATTCCTGGAACTACAGATCACAGCCTGGGCTCTCAGCAAAGCCTTTCAACTGTTTAGGGAGTACGAAATTGCATAACAATTTTATTTTTAAAATGGTACAAATTCCAAAAGGTCATGACCAAAGCCCTACCTTTTAGTAACTGTAGTTGTCGTCTTCGGGCTGTCGAAATTGCTTGTCCATGATTGTCTGAACAGGCAATAAGAAATTCAGTGAACCGTTTATATTATGAAACACAATTTTCTTTCAACTAATCAATTAATCTTATATTTGCTGTCATGTATAGTAGTTAACAGCGTAGCAATGTGGGCTGGGAAGAGAGGAATCTGAGGTCCTGCAAGAGTTTCACATTTATTTCCCTCTTTCCAGTATCAATTTGAGACATAGTGTGCAGCTTATAAACATACTTACCTTTTAAATGCAGAATCAGTATCCCTAAAGGGAAGAAGAAAACAGTTTAGAGAATCACTATTGTATTATTTTGTATCACTGTCTTATGGATTAATGTTACAGATGCAGTTTTTCTACAGTACAGTATATAACCAGATCAGTGATTGAAGAGGGTAAAGTTAAATCCTGAAATTCTCATTATGTAACTGAGATGAAGATCAATCAATCCTAGGTTCAAATGGGATTCTATATTCTGTCTGGAGAGAAATAAAAAATGGACCTATACATGACATGGAGTATCTGTTTTAATGTGTGTTCCAGCTTGGAAAAAAGTAACATACGTAAAAAACGTTAAAAGAAATCAAGTTGTCTGTTCATGCATGATGATGAGGGTTGTGAATATTCTGAGACTGCTTTCCATGAAGGTTTCTTAAATTCCTCTCAGGATGAGGATCCAAAGAGAATATAAAACACTGACGTCAACCTAGGCTACAACTATACTAGACTGTACTGTAAAACCTTGACTTCAACCTGTGTTACAGTTGGATTTGCCATGGCTTAACTAAAATAGCATGATGCAGGATTCAGGCTTATTTGAATGGTTTTGCAGTAGATGAATATGGGCTTCTGTTGATGGGAAAGCATTATACTTAGTGTTTAGGAATCAAAAGAGCCACTTTTTTCAACTTAAAGGAACCGATGAAAAGACAGATACACATATACAGTACATACATAGAAATTATTTGAATTAATATTATTAGCTCTCGACTTTTCACAACATTGAAGTGCTGGAAATCGAAGGAGTTTTCCACACATATGAAGGAACTTTTTACACATATAAAGACAAGCTCAGTAGCTGTTTATCATTAATAGAGCTTCTCAGCATGACAGAGCTAGCTCTATGCAATGAAATAAGACACATACACTGTATATGTGTTGTTTTTTTTTCATTCACAGAGACTGACTTCACAGAGACTAAACCATAACCCTCAAAGGTGTTCCCTCACACAAGACAAACAGAAAATCTTACTTGATGCTGGAGAGCTGATTCTCACTGCCACTGAACCTGCGAGTACAGAGACCAAGAAGAATAAACACAGTGCAGTGCTCCAGCTACACCTTACACTATTTAAAAGTCTGACAGTCTGAAAATGATAGAAATAATAAGACACAATAATAAAAAATAATAATAATTAAAAAATATATAGTAATATTTAAAATAATAGAAAGTGTTTCAGGCAATCATCTACTTCCATTTTTTTTCCATGTTTCAGACTGAATGTTGATTGGTTTGAACCTGCAAAGGATAGAGGAATTAAAACAATATAATAATAAAAGCAACTTCTCAGCCCACAAAATAGGTTGTCCACACCTTTAAAATGCTTAATTGTTTGTTTGCTTTTGTGTTGACTGTGCTCATGAGAGCGTTAACAGTTAACCTGAAGAACAAAGGTTGTTTTCAGCCATGTGCTAAGGACACTGATAACTAAACAAAAGGAGACATAATTTACCTTTTTGACAAAGCTCTCACAGATGGCACCTGGTTGTTACTTTTTGAGGTGTTAGTATCTGTAGGATTCGTAGTACCTGTAGGCCTGCTTAAATAAAATTCAATGAATGTCATCGAGGAATACCAGACCAACATACGATCCGGTATGAAGCAGAAGCTAGCCCACCTACTCCGTTTCAAAGCAGCATTGCCAGACGTACAAGCAAGCTAGAATCAGTAAAACATGTGTAATATGTTTTACATTCAAGTAACAAGCAGCAGAAGTGCAGTCACAGACGAGAGTGAGGATGGAGTACTTCTGCAGTACATACTGTACCGGATGAAAGCAGCCACAATCAAAGGAAAGCTTTACCACAAAAATGCAGCCATCAATATTAAAGCCAACTATTCACTTTAACTAGGGCTGTGCATCTTAATAATGTAGAGTAACTCCTTATATTAAAAAGGGACAACAAGAAAATGGCGCAATACCAGTGGGTCAAGGTAATAAAAAACAGTCACATGCAAGAGTTAAGATTTCTTAGCAGAGGGCTTTAGAGAGGAGGAGGCACTTATACTCGTAAAGATTTTGAAGAACAGAGGCTATATTGTAAAGCTGTTTTATTCTGCTTTTCAATGCCCTTATGAAGCTTGCAACATACTGCTTTTTCAAGCAAATCAGCTTTCTCCACATGCAGCTACAATTCTATTAAACCCTTGAAGGAGGACAACATTCAGGTGCAAAATAGGTTTTGTACAAATATACAGTACTGAGTTTTGTTTTGTTTGCTATTTAAATTACTCCCATTATAATGTGAGTAGGAAGAGTGCTTTCATAACTCTGACATTTATTAATATGAGTCCCACCAAGTTAATAGCATAATTTGTACTGTTTCTGTACACTCAGTCAGTCGAGTGACTCTGGTGGTATAACTCCTTTGCTGTAAATGCCAATTGCTTAGTTTATGTGCCTGGTAGTTTTTCCAGGCATTTGCATTTGTCTTTTTATTGCCAAGGGTTTAATATGTATTTATTTTATGCATTTATTTTGAATAGGCGCTCAGCACAGAGACCACAACAGACTAGCTACCTGTCTAGATTCTCTTCAGATTTGAATCGGCTAAGAAGACTTTTGCCGAAGTTTTCATCCTTGCTGTAAGTGAAAAAGAATAAAATGGGGCTTAACACCTTTCGCCAGCTATTGCTGCTTCTTTCAGTGTCACAGCCGATTCAGATCCAGCACCTGTCCCGTGAAAAGCCGTGAACGGTGAGCATTTGGAAAGGTTGATATGTTCAGCAGGTTTCAGACTGAGCAGCTGCCTTCCTGATGTCCCGTAACCTGCAAAGCTATTCTCTGCTTCACAGCGTGCAAAGCCAACATGGAGCATTTTGCTAGATCGGTGAAACAAGGAAGGAACAAGCTTCGTCCTCTTTGATGGTCTTCAGATACATGGGTTAAGGAGTGGGACATATTAAACAAGCTTTGTAGCTGTTATTGTGCACAGCTGTTGTGATGAAACATTTTAGAAGATGATTTAAAGGGACCCTTTGAAAGCACTGAGAGAACGCAATGTATCTATCTATGCAAACAGATACTAATGATATATTTTTCTGTTTATGGAGGTGTTTACAAATTGTTAAGAGGTATTAGAGCATTACACAGTTTTGATAGATCCATACCTATTTCCAAGAAATATGAGAGTGGGATTACATGACATTGCATGCCACGATTCAAAATAGACACTGAAACCAGTTCCCAAGGGCCTTGCTACAACCTGCCCAAGAGAAAGGTAAATATTTTGGCTCACATCTAAATGTCTTCATTTGTAACAGCTGGGCTCGTGGAGAGAGTTAGATTATGATTTCGAAAGATTCCTGGTTATGAAACAGTCTAGATGCATCTTGAGCAGGCAGAAATCAATCAATAAGCAAGAAACCTGTAAACAAAATCATGAATTATAAACTACATTCCCAATATTTTAATTAGTCTGCAATCTGCAGTTTTCTTTTTTACTTCTATCAGTCATTAATGACAGGAAATATGACAGATTTGTATTATAGCTGGCTCAAGGTTTTCTGCACATTTCATTTAGCATACGCAATGATTTATCCACTTGTATGATAAAGGTATCTCCAACCCTGTAGTTCACCATTTCAATCTGTGGAACTATTCCTTTCTGATTAATTAAAATGATGATTTGTTAAACAAAAGAATTTAGAGATCATCCATTTCCTAACTGCTTTATTGATTACGGGGTTGTTGGGACAGAGCCTATCCTGGAAAGCAATAGGCACCAGGGTCAGTTTTCCAAGTTTTCCAAGGGCTAACATACAAACTCCACACAGATAGCACCCCTGATCCAGAATTTAACCCCCAGGACCCCAGTGCTGCAGGGCAGCAATTCGAACTCATTGAGGGATAAAATCTATGTACTGTACACTTAAGCCAACAAAACCAGATTTCTCTATACCGAGCAGATTACTTGCTTGATTTTTCCAGCAGCTTACAGGTGTTGCTTTAAAAACAGGTAGAAGAGGATTTATTTAACGTGCTTGTCACATTTTAGTTAAGTGCCGTAGAGAGGGTGGCCACAATAAGGAAATGTGGTTGAATGTGACATAATAAGCCACAGTTCTCGCTCTCTATCCCACCAAGTCAGACACACAGGCAGTGAGCTGGGGTGCTGTTTTACTCAGGGGAGTAAAACTAATGCAAAGGAAAGATCACTGTTATCATAGATCACTGTAAGTGGTGACTTATTTTTAAAGTTTACCGTCTCTTAAATTAAAAAACCTGCCACTAAATAACGGACTGATATTTTTCAAAGCAGCTTTCCTGACCCTAGCTTTCATCTCCCAAACTCTACGTGATTATTGATCTTTTTATGTATTGTATTTGACAAATAAAAAGGGATATTCATCACTGAGTCTTGCTGGGGATGGCAGCTGGCTGTGGGAATGTGCACAGGAAGCCCTCTCTTTACTTACTCCACAGGCTCGGCTTCTTCTGGGTTCCTCCTGATCCAGCTGTTGTCCTGCAGCAGGCTTGTTTTCTTCCTGTTTTCATCCCCTGTCTTAGTGGAGCTGTACGTGCTTTTGGTGTCTGTGGCACCATTAAACAGAAAAAATGAAATTACACACATAATTTAAAATAGAACATATATAACTAATTAATACTACTGTTTTGGGAGAGGAACCAAATTTACTAAATTACCACAAGCATTCATTTAATTGCTTCAATAATTTGTGCTTAAACTTGATAGTTACTATGCTTAACTAGTTACTGATATTACAACTACTTAAAATACGTTTTTTTTCTTTTATCTTCCCATCTTTCCTATATCTTTTTTTTCCAATTCCTTTCATTTTTTAAACTTACTTATTTATGCGTTTAACTTGAGCCAGGTTAATGTGACGAGAATCACATGTATCATCAAGAAGGTACATTTTAATTTTACCCCACAAATAAAAGTCTCTTCCATTAATCTGGTGAATGGTTTAATATCAGATTAGCCCAAGGTTTAAAGAACACCCTCTCGACCCCAGTCCTTTTAAACAAAAGATATCAAATGTAACAATCAGACTTCGTAACATAGATAATCCAAAGTGTAAAGAAGAGGTAATTCTCTGTGTGTTGGCTGCTTTTTATTATTTTTTAGCAAATAATAGTAAGTGTTAAGTTTGGGGGTAAAAAGTTTCCATTTTCTTTGTCATGTTCCTTGTGTATATCATATCTGTGTGCAGCTATTCTTGCTCAACCAGTTACTAGATGTATTCTTTGTCTCACAGCCTTTTGGAGATCTGGCTTTTGATGTTGCTTTTTGTGAAGTCCCATCTTGCTTCTTGTGCCAGGGTTAACGTAAAAGGAGCTGGCACGTTTAAACTGAATTGAAATTGAATGTCTGCCCTTGCTGTTTACTCCATGTACTAATGTCCTTTCATTATTTTCTGCCTTTTTTTAATTTAAAAAAGTCTTTCAATAATACTAAATACTAAAAATACTACTGACAGAGTGAAACACATTTGTAACACTTTTCAGCCTCAGCCTGTCATTCTGCACTGGTTTCTTATCTGGTTTTTAACATGAACAGAATGCTTCATGTTAAGGGAGGTAACAGCTGGCCAGGACTTATTCTGTGACATCTCATGTGGCAGATTGCTCAACTCCACAGCAGAGGTGTGCATGTGGAGCAACCAGTTCTACGGTATGAGAAAGCGAGTTCACTCCCCACCATTTCAGCACTAGGAGAGACAGCAGGTGTGGCCCCACATCGAAATGAGCTTTTTTCCCTTTGCATAACTTCCGACTTTTTATCTGGTCTGGTGAATGCTGCCAAGTGTATGTTCTCATTACATTACGGATTCTGATTTTGATGTGCACTATAAAACTGTAAAATGTATGTGAATCAATTCACCAAGCAGTAAGTGTGCAAAAAGTAGTATATGTATAGGCTTAGAACTGTTAAATTGCTTTCATTTACAGTATTATAATAGCAGTACTTTTCTTTGCATGCTCTAGGAAGAGGCAGTGAAACTGGTCGCAGGTGACATCATAAAGAGGGCAGAATAAAAAGTATTAGTCAGCTCCGGATAAGAGGTCATCTCTAGAGCAGCTGACAATGTAATGCGCTCAGACACTTTTTGTTCTTTTATTTAACATTCCCATAACAATAGCTACTTCTACACATCCAATTTTATCCTTTATTGCTCTAATGAATATTCATGACAGTTACGTTATTGTTTCAAATTAATCCTTTAACAAAGGTGGTAAACGTGTGTTTATACGGTGAGAAGAAAATCAAAGGCATAAAGCTTCTCAGTCTGTTAAGAAATGAGAGCAAGCACTGGATGAATGGAACTTTGCAAAGTGCAAAGTGTAGGCTGAACCAGTTCAGGACCTCGTGAATGTTTGTGTTGGGTGTGTTTATTATTATCGATACTGTTTATTATACATTACCTTTATCTTTCAATAACACACCATTTCACATCAGTGTACAGTGACATACTGTATGAGCGCAACAGTGTCAAACTTTAAAAGCTCATCATGTGCAGTAAAGATGTACCTGCACAAGCTTAATTTAAGCCAAGGAGGGTGATGTCTTACCTGTTTTGGAAGTGTATGTTGTTTTAGGATAGGAGTATGACATTGTTCACAGTGTTCTGTACCTCAAATCTGGAAAAGAAAGTTTATTATTATTAGGCACATAAAATGTATGCATCTTTTTGAGCCAACATTCAAACCTTTTCAAAACGTTTTGTTACATTTTGGGAATCGCAGCTCATCCCATCATATAATACAGAAAACAGTTTTAATTTAGTACAATTCAGTCAATCCAATGGATCTGTTCAGAACAAAATAGCAAATATGAACCAGAGGACACAAGTGGAAACTAAGTGGAAGCGCATTTGAAACTGAGAACAGGTGATACTTCTTTACTTAAAATGTGTTGGAGTATGGTACAAGCTACAGTACCTAGCCATGTTCTTGAAGTAAATATAATGGTTTTCAAAACAGCCTAGATAACTATTCATTTTTAGCTGTGTTAATTACAACATCGGAATTAAAAATAGGGCTGACAAAGGTAATAGAACTGTCTACATCTGGAGCTAACAAAGGTACATTATAAAGCCAAGAATGTAATGAATAGGAGGCTTAAATTTCATAAACATTTGAAGCACTCATTTTTCACTCCCCACCCTAGACATAGCTGTTCTAAGGCATGACAAACCCTTCCCAAGGCACCCTAACAAAACCCAGCCAGAAGGCCCTATGACCTACCTATAAAATGAACAGTTCTGAGGAAAACAGAAAATAATAATAATAATAATAATAGAAGCTTCTTATCAACAACACAAGCTCAGCATATTAATTTAACCTATTATTTAACATAATGCACTTTTTTAAGGAATTAACACAGAAACGGCACAAATTTATACAGGTGATTGTCTAAAATCCTATAACATTCTCTTACAAGCTTGTGTTTTAAGACCCAGCTGATTAAAGTGCTGACAAAGTGCATTGTGCTTGTCCACCTGCTAATGTTCTTTGCACTTGTGCAGTGAACTAGGTCACACCCAATGAGTTATTGCCTGCGGCCCTCATCACCAAAGCTACCCGTCCTGATTTCTACGATAACTTGCACGCCTTTCTTAACCATCCCCACGATTCAGAAACCTGGAAAGATATGCTGGTGACAGAAACGTCCACCTTCTGTTTCTCTGTTTGGATAAGGGCTTCTTTTTTGTTTTTTCGAGATCTTTTGCTTTGCAGCACCTCAGCTCCCCTCTTCTCATGCTACACAGAAGAAATTCAATGTTTGAAATATGCCGGGTTCTATGTGACTTCAGCAAAGGCCAATTGTGAAACTCTCTAAATTCTAGTGAAGATCTAACTCTAGAATAATAGAATGGAAATATTGATTTTTGCTTCATGTTATTGTGAGTTTACTGCTGTAAGAACAAAAATGTAGTTTTAAGCTTATATGTAAAACTATGTATTGAGGCTAGTGGGTTTAGCATCTCATTTCACAAATTTGTTTTAAATGCATTTACTGCAATATATACAGCACTTTATATTTGTATTTACAAATACAGTACGTTGTAAAAACATTCAGACTCTTGCACAGTTGTCACATTTTGTTGCTTTAAAGTTTGTAGCCATCACACTACAAGCAATGTGATGAACCAGAATTTGAAGCAGAAATGAATATTTGTTGAATACCCAACTTAGTCCACACTTTCAAAGCAAAAACCAAAAATAAAGATGTAAATTGGTAATTCATGTGGAAGAAAAATTGAATAATCTTGATTGCATGATTATTCAAACCTATATGCAACAAATGACCTTAATGAGCCACACAATCAGTTGAGTGGCCACTGGGTGTGTACGATAATGAGGGTTCACATCATTCCAGAATAAATACATTGGATAAATCTGTAATGTCCTTTAATTGGGTAGTATTTTCAAGTCAAAATGCAACCATTAAGACCAAAGAGGTTTCAAAGCCACTCATGTTCAATGGCAGAGATGAGGGAAAATGTCCATGAGGTACAGCTGGCCCCAGATGGCAGACAAGAAGGAAGCCATTACTGAAAAAAATCCTTCTCATTTTGCAACCAAACATTTAAGTGCTACTGCAAACATGCAGCAAAATTTGTTTTGTGGTCAGAGGTTGAAGAAGTCAAAATCGGAACATTTTGGTCGAAGAACATCCAGTCGACACTATCTACTGTCAAGTGTGGAGGTGTCAGCAGTCCATTATGAGGCTGCTTCTCATAAGATGAGACTGATAGACCTGAGAAAAGTACGGGCAAAACTTAGGGGACAACCTGCTTCAGTCTGCTCGAGACATAGAGCTGTCGCGAAAATCCACCTTTCACTGGAGTGGCTGCAAAATACAAAGAGAAGGTCCATGAGCCACCCAATGTCCTGACCTGAGAATTTGTGGAAATCTTCCAAGGACAATGAGCAACAAAATCCATCAGTGTGGTGGAGCTGGTGGAGACTTTGTAAAAAAGACTTGCAACTATAATTGTTGCAAATGGGCCTCCACCAAATATTGAGTTACAAGTTTTCAGGTTTTTCTTTAGGCTCCTTCCCTTCCTCTTACACGTCTTCAATTTGAGCATTCACGATTTGAACAAAATCTTCAGTTTAATGTCTTCGAGAACATTCAAGACTTCATTCCCACTACTCTGAAATAAAAGTATTAAATACTCGATTTCTGAAAACCTTAGACAGTAACAAAAGGTTACAGCTGTTATAGCCGACCTTTATTGGAGAGCCAGCGTTTGATAAAACTGGAAAACAGGATTCATCTACCCTTTTCATCATCCCAGATCCTCCAGATTAATGATATTTTAAAGGTCAGGAACACGGCCATAGCAGTGTCCTTGTTTTAACAAGACAGGCATTGCCTTGGCATCAGGCAATAATATTATAGGTAATAAATCTGATGTGCAAATGTTTAACCCTGTAACGTAACCACACATTTGTTCTTCACTTTTGAACTGTTTAGGACAATGCTTTCTTAGCCTGTCCAGTTTACTACACATTTTCATTGTCCAGCCATGAAGCACAGACTGGAAAACTTTAACACATTGGTGTCAAGAACAGTTCTTTCCGGGCCCTATGCAGACGACACGATCCGGTGGGCGAGGAAACAGTAGGGAGAAAATCATGCAGGAGAAGGGTATGGAGACAGGGGGGCGTGTCCAAGGTGAGCAGGTGTCCGGGGCGAACAATCAAAGACGAAATCCAAAAGGGGGAAGCCAAAACAGAAGGTAGAGTCCAAGGCCAGGGGATCCATCCAGAGAATAAAACCATGAACCGGATCGGGACCGGCGGGGCGGGGAATCAGGAACAGAAAGTTAAAACCATAACGGGGCCAGACGCAGCAGGACCCCGGGCTCTCACAAAACGGGATTCAATGAGGAACCTCGGGTGATGTCTGCGTCTGGCTTTTAAGGGGGAACGGAAATCAGAAACAGGTGCAGGTAATGAAGCAGAACAAGGAAGGGCTGGGGCGCCCTTAAGAGGAGGAGTAGCGATCGCGACAATTGGTCAGCACCTGTCAAAAATCACTTGTACATCTACTGAGCTGATAAGATGCTGGCACAGACCAGAGTAGCGGAGGTCAGACTGCTGGAGAGCAGCCTGTCATGCCCCGGGCCTCTCTTTTGTGTACTTGTAGAACACTGTGATATGACATGACAACATGAGAGAAAAATGATCCCACACAACCCCAGCCTAGGTCGGTGTCTTCCTGCTCCACCACACATGCAAACATGAAGGGTGAGTTTTTATCTTACTTTAAAACAAGCAACACCACCTTCCCTTCCAGGACAAGTGACCGTCATGTCCGTATTCAATATCCTATCATACATTCTAGTGTCAAATTTGTGTTTCTATATGTAATTGTTAACTTCACAGTCTTTTTACCCCTTTTCACAAACCGGTTTACACTCACCAAACTCTAATCTGCTGGCTTGTACAAAGTAAACTGTGAAGCAACCAAGAGGTATTTGCGTATCTGTAAATACCAGAAACATTACATGCACATTCCTACCACCATTCCAGGTAAGGTCGCCACCTAAAGTCTTCTACACATCTGCCGGCTGGTCCCCCTATTCTGGGGTGTCCCTTGCATTGCATGACAATGGAGTTCTGGGGTAAGGCACGGAGTGGAACTGCTTTCCGTATTACCTTAATATAGGTCACTTTTTTTCAAGTTAATGTTTTAAAACTGCTTAAAATATGTAACAGGTCTTACAGACTTGCTTGTTTCAACCTCTGTTTAAAGCTGGCTAGTTAGCAGTTGATACAGAATCTGGCAGGCCTTCAATGTCTGAACAGAAGAAACGTGCGAGCAATATTGACAGACTACAGTTTCGTGGCTTAGTTGTTATTCGCTGAAGTCCTCTTCAGACTGCAATATACTGAACTTCATCGACTTCATCGACTTCTTTAAGAAAAAATCATCGAATGGTGACGTTTTCAAATTTATATACCGATTGTATAGTTGTATATTGGCAAAATTCAGCATGCTGTTAAAGATTAACAGAAGTGGTTAAATTGTATACTCCTGCCCTTTCTTAATCTGTCATATAATTTCTTCCTTTCAATAAAAAGTTTCTCCTGCTCTGCAATCAAGCCAGAGAGAAGCAAACAGACACATTCCTGGGCTTGAGGCGATGTCCTACGCTGACAGACTGAAGGAACTGAACACACAGCATTTTTGCTGAAGAGAGAAGACTGCAAGGGGACCTGATAGAAGTATTCCAGGTCAAATGCTGCAGATTTCTTCAGAATAAACAGTGAAGCAGGAATCAGAAGGCACAATCGGACACTATTTCAGATACAAGAGTCACTCTGTTGACTTTAAAAACAAGTTCTACTCAATCACCATCCAAGGTCTACAAAAGAACATAATTCTGCCCCTGCCTTAACGTCACACCTGCCAGCAAAAGAAGTCCGGCTCAACTGCGAAAGTGAACTGTCCTTTTTTCATTGGATAAACACTGGATCACAGTGTGAAAGCAAAAAACAATATTGTGATGTGAAAAGGCAGGACATTTATTATGCTTTATTAATTTTTATTCCCTTTTTATTTCACATGACTCTTTTGCTCTCAAGCATTTCAATAGAAGAACAAATGTGATTATTTCTTTCATTTCACGTTACTCAGTGGCTTCAGATTATGTATATACTGTAAGATCAACAGCGTTGTGGGATATGACCATTACTGAACCTCTTTTAATTTGAAGAGCACATTAATTTATTTAAGGGATTGTGTTCGTAATACGTTCGTTATCCAGAAGATCGCTCGACGAAACATGAGCTGGTAAGATTAACTTTAGTCGAGCTATCTTTTTTAACAATAAAATACCTTCTTCATACTCATAGTTAAGATGTTAACCGAGTTGATTCACCCACTATTCGAATGAACAACAAGTCAGACCTGCAGTTCAGGGTTATTATCATGAGTGGTTTGTCAAGGGACACCTGCCTTTCAATGTTGTGACAAAACAACACAGCACTGTGACACTGTTCAGTATTTTATGTTGTTAATCTATTCATGATTCTTTACATCTATTCTCATAATAAATCTAATAAAGAAATCCACATATCATATAATGATTTTATACAAAATTACAAGTATTTACGACTAACTTCTTTCAGAGAGGCATTACACTTAGTGCTCACATTCCCCAGTACTATTAATGCGACTGAGCTGTCAGAACAACATATTTTAGCATTTATTTCACTTTCTATTTTTCTATTGCACTGGCGTTCACATTTGTAATTTGAATTATTCACCTGAAAGAAAAAGTGAACCTGTTCTAAACGATGTATACAAGAAAAAGAGCGTTGGTTATTTTTTTTTCTTGGAAATTGTCTATTTTACAATAGTAATTTCTAATAAAAACACATGGCCATTTCCAAGGCAACCCCTGGTAATAATAATGCGAGGCCGAAACCGCGCCACTTACCAGCAGTCTTCTCGGTAAATTACAGAGAGTGTCTGGAGTTTAGGCTAGTGGACCAGTGAAGAAGTTGCTCCGTCGGTCACACTTTCTCATACTATCAGTATATCCCAGGGAGGAGACACAAGGTGGAACAAGGGTGTGCCTTGCAGTGAAAGAGTTGGCAGGATCGCAAACCAGAATGGTTGGTTTTTCCTCCGTCGTACTGACGCCCAGTCTGTAGTGTAGTGTAGGTCCGCGATCAACAAAAAAGGCGTGCACGTAAAACAGGGCTGTGGCGCAGGTGCAGCATGTGTGGGTGTAAAACAACCTTCTCCCTAAGTATCACTGCAAAGGAAACACTTTGTTTGAAACAAATGGTGCTGCCTCCCTTCTATTTCACTTTTCTGCTTTTCTTTTGTACTGCCGAAGTCAATCTATTAACTTATGTTGTATGAAAATATGCCAGTTAAATTCAAATTCTACAGTTAACATTTAAGTTGTATTTCTACAGTTTGCTGGCGTGAGTAATTGTCTGAGCTAGTAAAACTGTATAGTACACCTGTGTCCAAGTACATGATAATATTGTAACGACCTATTATCACAGGGTACTGTAATTAAATCAATAAATGTTGTCTTTAGGGGTCGAAGTAAAGGACTCTCTACACATATCCGAGGATTGCAGCAGCTATTAACTCTAGACTAGATTTTGAAGACTTTTGGAGATAGCTGAAAAGAATTAGGATCTACACTCCTAAGACCTAATTACTGTTCTAATGATTTGGCTACAGTGTTAAAACTGTAATACATTATGTTTTTAAAAATTCATCATTTACCTGTATATCTGGGAACAAAAGCTAAAAATCTCCATACAAAGTGTCCTAGTGAGTTTCAAGGCTTGTGTTCAGTCTAAATCTAAGGTTTCTTCTTCTTTTTCATTAGTGGAAAAATGAGGAAAGTATGTTAAATACCATCGTGTAGCACATTGCTTTTACCGATCCTGGTGTTTGGGATTTCCAGTGTGTTTTGAAAATAATTAGAACTGAAATGTTCAGGCAAGTCAACATTTTTCTCGGTTTGTTTAAAAGACGCAGGCAGTCTGAGGACCAGCACTTTAACATCCATTTTAACTGTGGTTATTTGCTTCAAAAGGTAAAGGAGGAGTTTTTATTTAAAATGACAAAAATGCCTGTGACTACATAAGGCCACCTGTCCTCTCCACCTTATACAGGCATATCCAACAGTATAAGATTTAAACTGAAAAATACAAATCCACACACTCAATAACAGCCTCAAGCTGTAAGACAAAAGCTCCTCAAATAAATATTCAAAACAGGGCAGAGTTTTAAATATGTGAAACCAAGAAGAGGGAAAAAGAAAATAAATAAGTGAGATTTTTAATAGGGCTGGAAGGAGATTTTTTTCTACGGACAGTTTTGTTATAATTGCATGATAGATGCACATTCTGAGACATATTTACTTACTGAGATGCAATTACGAATGTGGAAGGATTATTACAATATGTAAATTCAGTCATACTTTATAATATCGTTTAAAAAGATTTATTTATGTTTTAAAAATAGTTCTGCTTTAAGCAAGGGTGTTTCACCACAGAATACGAAAAAAGTACAATCTTTATCACACAAGATCTTGTGAGAAAATTGACGTTTTTCAAGGATTAATGAAACTGTCAATATGAAGGTGTACAGTATATGCCCATTAAGACATGCTCTTCACATACTAATTCCAGGTAAAGGACAGTCCTGGTAAGTTTGGGGAATGAGATATTCCCAAGTGGCAAAAAATTCAACTTCATTAATTATCAATACACAAGAAAGGGTCACCTTTGGGGAACTGATGAAAGTTTCACTGTTTAGAAGAACAATGAAACTGAGCTTCCACCAAAAAATATTTTGAAGGAGTAATTTGGTAACTAGGAGTGTCATTAGCGACGAATGGAAACTATGTAACACACATAGTATTGGAAGGTGTGGTGAAAAAGAATTTTTATTTGAGTAAGCATTTCAGAAGCACCAAGGCTGGCCCTTGTTACAAATGATAATTTTTGGATCTCCTGGTGGCATATATAATCAGATCAGATTGTACTATGTCAGTTTTCAAGCTTGGTACATCAGTAGTGACAAGTCTGATCTTAATGGCCATGTTCTTTTTTATCTCACAATTCAGTAGTTCTACCTTCCATTAACAGAAAACATTTGGGGGCCGATATAATGACAGATGAGACATTAGAGGAAGGTATAGAGCTTCTGCAAGGGCAAAGCGATGGGAGAAGAGAATGAGAAGGGAAGACAGAAAAATGTGTAAGAAACCCGAGCTCTTGGACTTCCGTTTAAAGAAAACTTTTTACAAACTGTATTCAACTGAACGAATTATTTGACTAGCAAAGTTAAACTGTGGCTGTACATTTTATTATACCGTTCTTATTTGATAATGGCCGATGGATTGATAATGTTTTGTAAGGTCATTGCACCTGTTCATCTTCGGAAGTGACCAGATTCCTAGGCAATTAGCTCATTTATGACGCAGGGTGTAAAAAGTTATTTTGAGTAACCTGGCTGCTCTGTTTGCGTAAAGCATGCTGCATAGAGTTCAGACCTTACCAATCCGCGTGGCATTGTGGTGAGTCACAGCCACTATCTCCGCTGAAGGAACTTTCGTCCTGCAGTGGGATCAACTGTGGTTGTTGCAGCATGGTAGTCATTAACCACTGGATTAAGGCCTTCCCTAAACACGTTCACTATTTATTTTTCTTACTCAAGTACCGTAGGACTGAATTAGCACTTATTAAACAGTACAGGATTCTTCTTTTTCTTGCAGCAACTCAGTATTTGAAAAAAACAGTTTTAAAAACTGTACAGTACAAGTACAAAATTAATTCCCAAGTGTGATCATTTCCCTAAAAAGCTTACTTCAAACCCACTGTAGTATAGGAGATGTCGCAGGAGATGGCGCTCATGTATTACACACACCAGGGGATATCCAACACTAACCCTGGAGAGCCCCTCTGCAGCAGGGTTTTCTAGGTCAACATTAAATCACCGATTCCTGAAGCAGAAGAACAATCCCTTTGTGATCAATTAAAAAGGCAATTTGTTAAATGAAATAATTTAGAGATCACGTAGTACTAAGATCTAAGTACTCTTCAGTCCTGAAGGAGTTCTCTTAATTGATTTATCAAAAGGTATTGCCAATCTTTAAAACCGGTTGACCTATTAAACTTAGCTAGTATTGAAGTTTTCCATGCGTGTTTTGTAGAATCTGTATTATCTGAATGGCATTATCTCTCTCCATATGTAAATCTCAACGAATATTTAACACCAAATTTGTGGATCACCATAAATTAATTTAAACTGTACATTTACAGCATAATGTATTGAACACATTTAATTGAACGTGCTAAAATAAACCAATACTTTGTTTTCACTTTATATATTCCGGACCACACTCACGTGAGCTATTTGAAGGTATTTTAATGTTATTTTTCTGGTGAAGGTGCCTTGCATGAAATAGTTGTATTTCTGTGTCTCTCAGTAAGCAACAGTGAACACTAAAGGGTACAGTTTTCCCTAACAAACAAATCTTGAAACACTTCTTGTTTCTCCAGTCTCTCTTAACTGCTCTCTTATCAATTCTTATCCTGTGATTGACATCTCACTCTGTATCTTGATTTTTATGGTTATGACTTTTTAATTAATTGGAAATGAAGACTTATCAGAGACACCCATGAAACCTGGCCTCTGCCTTATTTAAGCATACAATTGAGAAGTGGGGTGTTAATTTTACCATGCAGACAAATCTCAACCCGTACAAATGTATAAAAAGCTATTTCATTAACACTGTGAAAATGTCCCTGGAGAGATTCTTGCTGGACAGTTTATCAGAGGTTGTGTAAAACATTTTTCAAGGCTCAGCAAAGAATTTTATTTAGTTTTAATCTATGTTTGATGTGTACTTTCTGTTCAGGGTGAGGAAATGTTGGGGTTAAAGGTCAGTTCTCCTAAGCAGGACACCATGGAAACAGTGCAAAGTGGCGTACCTGCAGTATTAGACTGAAGATTTTTGCTTGTTCCATTCTGCCTCACACACTGAGGCTGCAGTTTAGCACAGAACGATTTGTACTCATGGATCTGAAAATCATCTGCTTTTAGATGTTTGGTAAATATATACTAGGAGGTCTCTTTAAAAACGGGATTTGATTACATAACATTAGATGCTACAGTGACTATCCAGCATAGCCCATACACCTCAGAGTGAAAACAGCACACATTTCCAGTACTATTTTAGTTGCATACTGTCACCAGTCTTAAAAGACCAAATTGTTTGCTTTTACTGAGCTCATGTCACTGAATTCACTCAATCAATTCGATCATATCTCACAAAAAGTGTCACTGAGGTAATATGGACAATATGTTTTGGTGGCAAAATTCAATGATTACTATGTGACAAAATGAAGTTTGGCTCTGAATTTACTCAATTCACTTTACAGTAATGTAATTTACAGGTAATGGGGACTGCCCTCCACCACCACCAATGTGCAGCATCCACCTGGATGATGTGACGGCAGCCATAGTGCGCCAGAACGCTCACCACACATCAAATATCAGTGGGGAGGAGAGCAGAGTAATGAAGCCAATTCATAGATGAGGATTATTAGGAGGCCATGATTGGTAAGGGCCAATGGGAAATTTGGCCAGGACGCCGGAGTTACACTCTCTTTTCGAGAAATGCCCTGGGATTTTTAATGATTAAATAAGCTGTAAGAACACTTAAATAGATTCAACCCTGAGAGACCACTTAGTTTACTCATCGGAAGTAATATCTGTACTGTAACACCAGGAGGTCTTTTACAGACTTCTCCCTCTCTGTTCTGACTCTAATCACTGGGGATCTCCTAGGTATTCAAAACTAAGGAGGACACTTTCACCATTAATAGTGAGAGATGCAGGAGAGCATATTAACAAGGGCTCATTGTCTTTGCTGCCTTGCCATATGGGCTTCACTGCTGACATCCTTAAAACAATTGTCTCTCCTTTACCCTACTGACCCTGAGTGACAATAATATTTTTGCTCATGATCTTTTGTTACTGTGAAAGCTGAAATGCTGAGAGAAAACTGAGACTAGGGATTTTTTTTCTGTCGTGGACTTTATTTTGTGTTTGATGCACAAACCGTCAACAGCTTGAAATCACATTTAAGCTATATTTTCTCCACAAAATTCTGAAGCTAAAGCTTAGGTATTGCTCTCATTTTATTTGTTGTTGTACTTTGGCCCACATTTTATTTGTTGTAGTATTTTAATGAACACCCTAGTCAAATTTTAAAACTGTTTCTCTCAGTGACACTGTAGTTAAAACACAGAATGGGTCTTTGATATCC